CTGTGGAGTGTGCTACTCAGGCCTTAGAGAAATACAACATCGAGAAGGACATTGCTGCTCACATAAAGAAGGTAAATGTTTGCTTGTACTGTCCTCACAAGATCTGTATGCACATGAAGAATCAAGCAGGGAGAATGCTGCTGGGCAAGTAGCTCTAGAGAAACAAGTTCTAGAGACACTAGATAATCAAGTTGGACTTTTTCTGTAGGCTGGTGTCCTTATGTTCCTTTCCCCATCCTTTGCGTGGACTTTTCCAGGTCCTTCTGCTTTTCTCTTGCAGTACCTTCTACTTAAGCCTTTTCTGCCACTGTCCTGTTGTCCAGGTGAACAGAGAGTGGCAGCTGACTGTCCCTGTGACTGATGAGCTGGTACAAAACACAGGGGCTCTATTGAACTCTCCTACGGTTTTCTTCTGAAAGAAAACCTGTTCTATATAGTTCTTGGTTTCAATTTTACTGAACTTAATCTTAAGGATCTGTTCACAGTTCTGTCCAGTTGGGCCAAAAATTGCAGGGAAAGGTAGTTTTCTGCAGGTCTACTGTAATCACATCTCTCCTTATATAGTGACATAAGCAAAAAAGAAAAAAAAAAACCCCAAACAAAAAAATCCTGGTGGCACTGATTATCTGTTGTTTGCAACGTCTGTGTCGTTCTTTATGTAGGATTAACAATACTGAACATGGGAAAGATCTAGTTCTGATTATATTTCCTGCTTCGTCAACTCAGGAGAATGGAGAAATCAAAGAGTGTCAATGGAAGTTAAACTGATCTGAGTGGAAGAGCTGTTTAAAAAGTAATTCAACTAAGCAGAATGATTGCTTCCACTAGAGAAATACTAGTTTGCTATGCCCGCAATACAGAAAGGCATTTTTTCCCCAGATGCAGGAAGTACCTATGACAGTGGAAAAGAGGGAGTTTAGTGTAATATTTTCCCGGTGTTCTTTGTAGCAACTACTGGGAATTTGTAGAGGATTTGTTTGAAACATGTAACATGCAAATTCTTAGATTTGTTGATAGTACTGGTGTCCCAGAGCATGTGGCAGAGAATTTTCCACTGAGTCCCTTTAGCACCCCTGTTGCAGATGAACAATGAAGTCTAAATTACAGCTTAATCTCTGGGTGTAAAACTAGTGGTGAAGGTTTTACTCGAGGGCTATAGTTTCAGATCATGGTATGAATTATAGGGGAGAAAGACTTACTTTCCCTGAACAAAGGTAATGTTTTAAAGTTACTGCTGCTCAGATAGGAAGCACCATGGCGCTTTTTTTGTGGATTTTTTTTGTCTGACTAAGCAGCAGGTGAACTATAAGATGTAAATAAGATAATCCTAGTACTTAAGAGCATCTGCTCTTCCTCTAATTGCCTTGTTCAGAAAGCAAATACCTGTTTGGAAGAGTTCTTAATTCCTAGTTCTCTCTTCTGCAGGAGTTTGACAAGAAATACAATCCCACTTGGCACTGCATCGTGGGAAGGAACTTTGGCAGCTACGTGACTCATGAGACCAAGCACTTCATCTACTTCTACCTCGGCCAAGTCGCTATTCTTCTTTTCAAGTCTGGTTAGAACCACAGACTGTTACGGAAACTTGCACCTGGTTACAGGACTGTGTGCTGACTCCTCTGACTAGTTACTGCAGCCTTCCTGAGGACGCAGACCTTGATCTTCAAGGGCAATGGCAGGGATTATGCTATAGCAGATGATGTTACATTGTGGATATAAAAAGGAAAAATACCAAAAAAGTCTTCCTTGTATTTATTTTTTTTTCAGAAGGCTGCTTCTTTGCTAGTAGAGCTGTTGGAGCAGTTTTGCCTTTGAGAGTTTCATAGCCATCTACAGTATTGCCCAATTACTGCTTGTGCTATGTAAGTACTGACAGTGTTTAGTTCTTTGTGTTCCAAACCTCTCTTGTTCTTCCGATGTGTTTTTTGCCAGTTTTCCCCCTCTTGTTTTGCTGGGTGTAGTGCCCCAAAGCCTGAGCTGTTTCTGCTGCTGCTGCTGCCTCTTGGAGAAGCGCTTTGGAAAATAAAGGCCGAGATCTGCCCCAGCCGCCAGGTCGTTATTTCTGGCCGCTTTGTGCCGTCCGGGCGGTGGCGGTGGGTGACTCGGCCCGGGCGAGGCCGCCGGTCCCGCAGCCCTGTGCGGGGCTGGCTGCCGAGGAGCGCTGCCGGAGGGGGGGTCGGCG